AATTAGATCCTAATAAAATATTGAAGCAACAAGTGTAGAAGCACAGTAATAATGAAGATAAGTATGACTAACAAATGACGAATAGATCGGATAATAAAAAAATTATAGGTCCACTTTTCTTATCTTAAACTCGATTAGGATATTATAATTTAATTTTTATCTTCTTATTCTCATTGAAGTTTAATTAGAGTAAGATATATCCAGATTGGGACTAACTTTGAGACCGGAAAAAAATTATAATCTAATAAAAAAAAAAGAAAAAATAATAATAATTGAATCTATACTTATATTAAAAGGTATCCCATTTACCAGATTTAGTATAAAAAAAAGGTATCCCATTTACCAGATTTAGTATAAAAAAAAGTCTAAGGTAATTAATATTTGCTGGAAATAGAATGATATTAATTATAGATTTGTTTTGGTATTTATAGTTTGACATTAAAGATTTGTTATGGGATAAAAATTCGAACCGAATGTAAGTATAGATTTGTTTTATTCCATAACATCGGTTTAGTTAAAAAAATCTCATAAAATCAGTTTTAATGTCAAGCCTATAAATAAAGATTTAATCGATTTTAATAAAGCAGATTTAATCGGTTTTAATAATTGCATAGAATTTCAAAGCTGTTATTTATTGTAAAAAAATTAAATTCTAAAAAAACATTTGTGTATATTTTGTAAAATATTTGTACAAAATGTTTTACTTTAAATTTATTTACATAATTTAAATTAATTACATTAATAAATAATATGAACATACATTAAATATTTTAATTACATAAAACAAAAAGAAGAAGAAGATTACATCTATAACTTATAATAATAATGACATTATACTAAAATAAATTTTATAATGAAATAATACGAGGAACAAGATTAAGTAAAATTGTTATTTTTCTTATATCAATGAATAAATATATAGTGAAATCAAATTTATATTATTATAAAAATGTGAGCGAGATAATATATTAATTAATTTACGGGCTACCGCTACCAGACTCAAGTTTAATGTTCCGACAAAAAAAATGACGTTGATGAAAAGATGTAAAAAGATAGATGATCAAATTCTATTATTTTTTAGGCCTGAACGAACAAGTCCTGTGGTCCACTCATTTAATATCTCCCGTGAATCGCACGAGCTACTTAACGGACAAGTTTTATGGAAATAACTCATTAATATTTATGTCCCGTGCATCGCACGGGCTATGTGCTAGTATAACTGATAGTTGAAATGTGGAGTGGATTAGAGAAGAAATGTACATAATAATAATTAATGATTTTGGATTTTTCAATATTTAGAATAGATTGACAAAAAAAAAGGGGAAAAAAAGCGATTTTTTTTTCAATAGTTATAACTTAGAAGAGGTTGACCAGAGGAAAAATAGAAAAAAGTGGTTTTGAAAATTTCAAGAAATTGACAAAAGAAAAGGAAAAGGTGTATGAAAAGATTGTTTTGCTTTTTATATTAGGCTAATAATTGTACACGATGCTTTTTAAAAATATTTTATATTTTATATTCAAAATGTCAGACTTTAAAAAATAACATTTATACAAATATCAATTTTTTACAATATACTTGCATATTTTTATTAAGAATGATCAACTAAACCTTCACGGCGGTTACATAGGTTAACACACATTGATTATGTTTAATAATTTCATCCTAAATTTTTGCTTCTTGCGTGAGACATTGTCAGTGAGAAGTGAGAACGAAGATTATAAAATAATATATTTATATTAATTTATTTTGTATTATTTTAAATTAGCAAATAAATATATATATATATTATCAAATGTTATAATTTTATATATGTTTTTTTAAGGTATGAAATATTATAATGAAACTAGATGTATTTATTAAAAAATATATTGACTATTTTTTTAAAACAATATATATTATTTCTTAAAATTAAAAAACCTTCAGTCTTTACTCTTTCGTCCGATATACATTGGTTGCAGGACTAAAAGAAAAGTGTTTCTTCACATCTATCTGTATACAAATATATAAAAAAGAAAAATATCCCATATATATATATAAATATATTTGCAGCAGTAAAATGTGCCATCGCTTTTACGTCTCTTTTACAAATTTCCATCTCTCACTCGAAAGAGAGAGAGAGAAGAAG